TCTTTTTTTTGACTCTCTGGCTCCATTTATATTCAAACTTCCCACTCTAAAATTATCCATAAGTGAGAAATAAGAACAAAAATAAAAATCAATAAATTAATTAAAACACACATTGGAGCTCTTCCCGTCATCATTGTTCAGTTGTTTTCTAACTTTACACACAAGTTTTTTTAATCTAAAAACTCCCTTGTTAGTGATGCCAGACTCCTCCTTTTGGCTCATGTGGAGTCTGGCCGAGGTATAAAACAAACTTAAAACTGGGAAATGCTCTTCAACTTTAACACCTTTAGCATTTTTGGTTTTTGCTAAAAACGACTTAATCATTTCTGCAGAGTAAAGTTTTTTCTGTTGACTGTTACTTATTTTAAATCCAGATATATCACTGCTGTCAGAGACACAGTCATCACTTTCCTCTGTCTGTCCCTGTCCCCTTACTGTCTGTCTGTCCTCCTCCTCCACTTTGCTAGTCTTTGCCTCATACTTTGTGCCTCTAGTTTTCCTTCTGCGTTTAGAAGCAGATTTGACCCTCACTGCCTCCTCTTCCTCCTCCTCCATCTCAGCCTCTTCCACCTGTTCCCCCCATGTAAGTTTACTGTTCCCCCCACCTGCCTCCTCTGCCTGTGTTTCATCTTCCTCCTCTGACATACCCTCCTGCTTCACTGACCCACTTGCTTTATTTATCTGCACTTCACTCACACTTTTTCCAGCTGTTTCTTCCCCCTTTTCTTCACCCACCTCACTTTCCACCACATCACCCAAAACCTCTCCTTCACTTCCCTGATTGTTTTCACCCCACCGTGCACATCATTCATACTCACCACCCCGTGCTCCAGGTCAGACACAGCAGCGGCGAGCGCGGCGCGCTCCGCGGTGCCGCTATCGCCGCTCAGATGCCGCGGTCCGGGCCGCAGCGATGAAGTCTCCGCGCGGCCTCCCGCCGCTCCGCTGCAACCGGCGGAGCAGCGGAAAGCCCCGCCACAGGGCCGGGCGTCACCCCACGGCCAGGCGGAGCCGGATCCCCTTGTCTCGGACAGGCCTTCACGGTGTGTCCCTCCTCACCACAACCAAAACATTTCATAGCCGACGAGGTGGCAAATATCACGTAGTCATAATCATCCACTTTAACATGGAAGCGGAGGTTGAGGTTAAGTATCATAAACAGTTGTCTACGGTGAGACACCACGTGTTTCAGCAGCTGAGATCTACATCCAGACAGAATCTTTTTTATGGGGGACACCACCTTCCCATGTCTGGAGAGCTCTCTGCTAAGAAACTCGTCGGTTATGAACGGAGGGACATTGGACAGGATGACTCTGGTGGAAGGCTGTGTCAGTGGAGCCACCTGTACAAACATTTCGTTCACCGTGATACCCGTCTCAACGACTCGGTTCACCTTCTCCACCTGATCCAGGAAGATGACCACGGCGCTGTTCATCCGAGCGGCCGACCTCACGCTGCCGTGCCCGACCTTTTCTCCCACCGCAAGCCCAATCTCCTCCACGCTGCACAGAAAGCTGGCATTAATTTTAATGCCATGCTTTCTCGTGAGGTGGCCGAAGGTGACTCCATTTACCATGACGTCTGAAGACGCCGACCGGCGAGACACCGGCAGGAGAGAAAAAGAAAAAACACAAACACAAACACACACTAACTATTAACTTAAAGTGAACCTACAACCAATAAACTACATTAAATTAAATCAAATTACTAAAGAAAAAAAAACACGAAAACCACTCGCTCAGCGTCTCACTCCACACCACTCACTCCCAGCATGCACCAGAGAGAGAGAGAGAGAGAGAGAGAGAGAGACAGAGAGACAGAGAGAGAGAGAGAGAGGGAGAGATACAGAGACAGAGAGAGAGAGAGAGAGGGAGACAGAGAGAGAGAGAGACAGAGACAGAGACAGACACACAGACAGAGAGAGACAGAGACAGACACACAGACAGAGAGAGAGAGAGAGAGAGACAGAGAGAGAGAGACAGAGACAGAGAGAGAGAGAGAGACAGACAGAGACAGAGAGAGAGAGACAGAGAGAGATAGTTTTTGTCAATATGGGTGATTGAGTGATAAGTAAGAGTGAAAATGGATGAGTGTGTGTGGGAGTAAATATGTTTGTTTCTGAGGGTATATGTGTAAATGTGTGTCTATGTGTGGTGCTGTAGCAGTGGGTGTAATGGATCTTAAAAGAGCTGTTGGTTTGAGGTAATAAAGGGGTATGGACAGGTGATAAGGGTACAGGGATGGACTGAGTCTGTAGGACAAGAAGAACAAAAAAAAAAGGTTATTTCATCCACAGCAAAATTTCCAGGATTTCTCAAATGATAAAATCCTGAGCTGTAACGTCATTGGGAAGATAAGTGTGACATGTAATGAAAACAACTTCCTAAAGGACCTGTATTCAGTCACATTTAGCATGTAAACTGCATGAATGTTACCAAAATAGGGAATAAACTACTAAACTGGTCAACAAGATCAAATCAAAGCCACATCACAAATAGAAGCCAGTGAAAATACAGCTCCCACTGGCTGTCATGTTAGGAGCATGCCAACTAAGCTATGCTGATTTAAAGCAAAGTCTATTATGTAGTAGTCTAATGTTGGGATATATAGAAGCCGTAGGTTACTAATCTGGAGAAACATGTCAGAATCATCGATGTCATTTACTGATATAACCAGTTATTCAATAGTCCTCCCATACTGACCATAGATAAAATACCTCCCCTGACAAAAGTTAGGATTTATTAAATGGCCCTTTGTGTATAAAAGATAAAAAGCTAAAACAGAAATGGCCTGGCAGGTGTTACGGTGCAAATAGTGACCGCGTTAACTGGAGACTTTCAGCCGAACGCGTCTGTTGGTGTCCTGCTCACAACGGAATAGAAACGGATAGAGCCTCTTTTGTTAAATCATTCATTTACAGACGTATCTAAAGAGTGCATTTTTAGGCATTTACGTGGACACCTTTCGTGTTTATCAGCTGCGGTTACCGCGAAGAGCACTTTAGGCTGTAAGCCATCAGATGACACGGTCACTGGTCACACCGTAACACCGCCAGTTAACACGATCACTGTTTACACAGAAACAGGTCCAAATACTGATCTATCTAGTACTGGGGGATATACTACTTCCACCTTAGCTAGATATAATATTAGCCCCAACTTTATCAGGTTTGAGAAAACGTTAAAGTAGAGATAGTCTTTAAACTAGCTGGGCAGCTAAATGCATTTTCATTACGTTACTACTTCAATTTCCTCTCATGTTAATAACCTTGGCTCTCTACCACCAAACGACATGTATTTAGCATGAAAAACAGTCATAGGCAACCTCAAATATTTCAAACTTAGGTTAATAATAAGTTAATAATAAATATTAATCCCGGGTAATTACTCTTACCTGACAGGAAGGAGGTTTGGAATACACTGAAAAGCTTCTCTTTTGTCCGCGAAGGATGTTGACATTGAGTAAATTATCGCCCCCTGCTGGTATGGCACAGATCACAGGCGTGAACATTTGACGCTGAAGACAGGCAATGCGTGACACTGACACGCATCCTCTAGTGGACCAACGTGTCTATTACACGTATGTTAACTCTCGCAGCTGCAGAAAAGTTTTCTCTGGTGCTACTGTAACGGAGTTAAAATGCACTTTATTTTTGAGTACAGTTTACAATTTATACTTGAGATTTCATTTATAATTTATTTCTGTTAAGTATTTGTGAATTTTATCTTAACGAGTTATGTATATTTACTGTTATTTTATCAAATTTATGTTTCCTTTGAGAATTACCTTTTTGGCACTTTGCGGCTTCTGTACCTCCTGGATTTCCGTAGCTCCTTCCGTCTGTCCCTCACAGTGTCGTTTTGTATTGCTGAGGGTAAGTTGTATGTAAAAACGTTGCTGCATCATTATCTTATTTACTGTGGATAATAAGTGATTTAAGTTGTAATGTTCAGTTTATTTTATAAACTGATAGTAATACGATGTTAATCAGTCATTTTGTTTAGGTTTTGAGAGTTTTATATCACTTTGGAGACTGTTTTAATGTAGTGGTTTTGGCGCGAATTGTGTAATATCCTACATATTCTGCAGGTATGTTTTTCCTTGTATTTTCATACTTTCTGTTTTGTTTTACAGCCGCATGTTGTCGTTTATTTTGTCCACTAGGTGTCACTGTTTTACCATTTGGTATACTGTTTCTCATGTTTTTTTAATGAGATTTATTGTTAATATACACTGTAAAACCGTGTTTTTCAGCCATTTGTAGCAGCTCTTGGTTATAAATATTTACATATAGTTAAAATATTGAAATGATGATTGTAATATATTTCTATGTAATATAAATTTGTTTTGAGTGCCGTTTTGCATTGCTGAGGGAGCAGAGGTGCAGAAAACAAATGTCCAAAAGGCACATTGAATGTTCTTTGGTCTTCTGCAGGAAATAAAAGCTAGAAAACAGTCAAAGTCTGGTTTTCTTCACTCCCCTGATCACATCTGTTACACTGCTTATTCCCTCGGCTCACTTCCTCTCCCCCTGCACCACATCCTGCCACACAATAGCAGTTACACCCTGATTGACCTCATAGATATTATGACCTACAACAAACCACCACTGTCATATGATCCGACTACAGCCTCACCATCTTTCAAACACTGCAGAGCAACATCTCCTGTCCATTAGGCTACTCCCTGGACTACAGCCCATCTGTTTGGAGGTGAGTCTGCTTTAAACACGCAGGTGTAAGAGGGTCATTTATTTATAATTCATGAATTTAAAGGGGAATCTACAGGAGTGACTAATAAAGTCAATCAAAGAGCTCTAAATGAAAGAAGTGACAGTTCATTTTTAAATCAATTGTCTCAGGCAACCGATATGATCAGTCATTCGACCTGTTTTTAACTTTGAAATGATGATTAATCCTCATGAGGCTACAAGGTTATATTTCTGCTCAAACTGAGCATTAAGGAAGTCAAACCTCTGCCTGCACTGTTTTTAAAGGTAAAGAAAGCGTCCAATAACAGTGAAAAACACATGGAAGCATATTGCATTAACATGAGAAAATACAAATCTGCTCTGTTTTAAAAGTCAGGTGAATGCAGATACTGTAGCTACTTGGATTTGTTTTTTCTTTCAGTTTCATTTATCTAAATGTAAACTTGCTCCACTTCTTAGAGCAGGGATGTCAAACAAACGAACTGCGGGCCGTATCCGTATAAATTCAATATTTGTAATACTTATTTTCCCCGAATTTGATTAAAAACCTTTGTATAATGAGCAACGTAAAGGTTGATGTCATGATACGAAAATGAATTAAACGGGGCACTTTGAACTATCTTCTCAGCAGGGAGTATCATCAAAAAGACGAGTGGCCGAGCGCACGAGCTGCTCCTGCATTACGCTGGTAATACATCACATCAGCAAACAGGCTGAACACCTGAGAGAGGTGACACAGAATGCAGGTTTTCAAGAGAGATCGAAGGAGCGATATTTCTTTAGTTTTATTTGCTCACAAGTTGCCAGAATCGTATCAAAGCTACGGGACTTAACCGCTGCACTGCGCGCGCATCATGACGGTCTTCAGTTCTGTGCACACTTCTTACCAGCTTCTCCTGTCTTGACTGATGTAAAACAAAATGTTGACTAATAATAACAAAGCTTCCTATGGAGTGAGCTACAAAGAGCAGCTCGTGTAAATAAAAAGCAATCCTCCATGCGTAACGGCCCAGACCGTCTCCTCACATCCAGACTAAGTGTAGGTTGTGGACACCGGCGTTGAGACTGATGCATCTCCCGACTTATTTTACCTCTGGTTATTAAACAGTAAATTAAAATGAATATTAACTGATTTTAATTACAGATGGTTCATTTTTAGGTCACCCAGATGTGAAAGTGTTGTGTTGATCATCTAAAAGTTTCATCACTTCTAAATGCAGTAGCCTGCTGTTGCGCCTTTATCACCAGCTCTCATCAGACTGTAAAAATATAACTATTACTGAACATTTCATTCTTATCCAAATACGATATCACGCACAGGCTGCCCGATCATACAGAGGTCCGCTGGTTTAACCGAGGAGCAGCGCTAAAATGCTTCCTCGAATTACGCACGGAGATGGCACAGATTCATGACGCATAAAAAGTCAGTGACAGAGTTAGATCACGATAGTACGGACACGGAGAAGAACGGACAGCCAGACTGATATCAAAAGTCTTTTAACTGAGTTTACTTAGTTGAAGAACGTGCACTCCACACGGAGCTGATCAGACTGCAGTGCGCAACGCTGAAGGATCAATTTAAGTCTGTTGGTTTGGAAACATGTTATCATTTTAGAATGCCTCACACTAAAATACCTGAAGATGACTGTTTGCATCAAAGACACTCTGTGTGTTTGTGATAACTTATTCATGTGAGCAGGTTTTATCTGTAATGAACCTTAAGGAGTGCAAACTGTGCTGTGGCCTGACACACACACATCTAAAGTCTCTCTCTGTCTCTCTGTCTCTCTCTCTCTGTCTCTCTGTCTCTCTCTCTCTCTCTCTCTCTCTGTCTCTCTCTCTCTGTCTTTCTCTAGTAATGCACTGATACCAGGGCAGGTAGAATCACCTGTGTCAAAGTTTCTATAACCTTGAACAGCAATATTAAAACATAATATAATAATCTCAAACAAAACATAATTATTGATGTTTTCTTCTGTAATGTGGTACATTTAAATATTTCCATGTGCCAACATGCAGTTTGCAATGACAGAGTTAACCCCTCTGCTTAATCACTCTTACATTTTATGCGTTAACATGTAGTTTTCTATACAAGTACCTTTTTTTTCTAATCATGCATTAGCCTATAAATCCATGTGTCAAGTTATAGTGATGTCAGCAAAATTAGTCCGATACCAATAGGACTTTGACACCCCTGTCTTAGAGCAATGTTGTTGTTTGACTTAGTTACCGGTATGCACCTCCAAATGTAGTTATGTTCATTTTTGGGTTTATTCTGAATTATTTAAAGTTCCTGTGATGATTTTTTTTTTTAAACCTTCCTGGGTGGTGATTTTCAGATATCAGTTTTCAGTTAGTTACACTTGCACTTTGTTACAGTTGGCCTATTACGTCACATACCCAATAATTGACAACATCCATGACTTCAATGTGTTTCAGTATAAAGTAACAAAATAGTACCAATTAAAACGTTTTCTTAGAAACAATCTTCAGTTAGGCATCAAGTAAGGTCTTTTACCTGTTTTTGTAAAGTGTGTCGAGATAACACTTGTTATGAGTTGAGGTTATACAAATTAAATTGATTGATTGATTGATTGATTGATTGATTGATTGATTGATTGATTGACTGATTGATTGATTGATTGATTAGACTAAATGTACATGTTTCCTTCGTGCCTCCATTACTGCGTGCCTGCAGGTAAACTAACCCTACCTTAAGTCAACCTTTTGTCCTCAAGTGACTTCAGTACATTTCATAAGACCATGTAACCTTGGCACACCTGATTGTGAGAATTTGACCATCAGTATGAACATTGTAATTATGTTCCTGTCAAACCTCAAGTACCAAAAACTTGTTTTGTTGTAAACTCCCTGTTTGGTAACAGATAATTATCACATTCTCAATTGACTAGATTAGTTTGATGTTGAAATCTAGACATGATGACACACTATAAATATTCAGAGGTTTTTATGACTGAGTGTCTTCAAGAAGAATTCATATGATAAACTTAACACAGAGTCTGTTTCCCCTTTTTGTTGTTTTATCCAGTACCAGAGGACTCACCATGTGGCTAAAAGGTTTTATAAGTAACCATGTCAACATGAAACTTCTGAAGACCTGTGTCATCCTTCTCCTTCTGACTGTGTTGTTCTTTACACGAAGAAACATGGACCTGCTGCAGGTGAGAACTGGGATTATTGGTAACACTTTAAAGGTGGTCATTGAGTGTCTTTCAATGTACTAAAGTGGGGAATGGGCCCCCCTGGGGGCTCCTGAGACACTGAAAGGGGGTTCGCGAGATTCTTTCTAATCGTTTCTTTTATATTTAAGTTACTGGTGCAATATCACTTAATTGTTGAAAGTTAATTTGGTTTAGTAAATGATCTGAGGTTAATTTAAGGGTTTATTTTGATTTCTTTGCTTCAAGAGAAAAGTGTAAACCCACTATTTGAGTTGTGCTGCACCCAGCATCAGTGGCTACAAGCCTGCAACCAATCATCATTATGATGTGAGCTCTGAATCAACAAATAAACATCAAGTTCCTGGTTGAGAGCACACACATCAAAACAAAAAAAGCCTAAACATGCAATTCTAAAAAACAAATGTAACAGGAAATGTATGTGCCTCCTGGAAATGTTGCTAGACTGTTAGTGATGCACACGAAGATTATAATTACAGATCCTCCCTGGATCCGCACCGAGAACTGTCCTTATCAGGTTTCTTTTTTATCTTAGCATAGCCACAGTGAGTGCGTCATAACTTTGTAACTGAATGTCTATATAGTGTGGAGTTGGACTGCCCTTCTCTGGGCTTTGCTGCAGACTTACCTTTCAATCTGTACATTTGCTCTTCCTATTTGCAAAAGGAATAATAAAATGGCAACAAACATAACTGAATGACTCAAAGATCTTTTATTAAACAATCTCTCATTACAGAAATTTCCAGCACACATATCAATTCATAATCTCCAGTTCAGGGGACACTTAAGGGCCCAAAAAATAAATGATGATCCAAACGCAAAATCAGAAACATTCCAGGAGATGTAAAGTCATTTAATTGGGATAAAAGGAAGGCTAGATATATGTCTATAGTTAGCTAATGTTATTGAATCAAGAGCAGGCTTTTTAAGAAGAGGTTTAATTACAGATGTTTCAAATGACTGTGGTGCAGTCATCTGCATAACTTCAACTACTCATACAAGAACACCTGAACAATGAACAAGCACCGCTCTGAACAGTCTCACCTTTCACTACAGTTAAACGAACCAGCGCCCAAGTATATTTATGGACATCCAAGTACATTTCCAACCTGTTTTTATTTAAATGTATTTGCTGCACGCACAAGAGAGAGAGAGAGAGAGACAAAACGGGAGAGAGAGCGCAAAAGAGAGTGCATCAGTACAACATAACAAAACTCCTGTTTGAAAAAGAAATCCCTCTCGACTCCTGAGGAGAGAAAAGACACAGGAATATCAAGAAAGCAGTATCACATCAACTTCAGAGAGAGAGAGAGAGAGAGAGAGAGAGGGAGAGAGAGAGAGAGAGAGAGAGAGAGAGATGAGTATGGAGTTAGATCAGTCTCAATATTCATGATTGCATACATAAAGATTCACAAATGTATTTCAATGCACACACAAAATATTTATAGTTCTATATAAATGTAAAACAAATCCACAAATACAAAAAAATAAGATTCACAAACATATTTCACACACAAATATTATTGTTATATATATATATATGTAATAGAAATCCACAATTATATGATATACATATATATATATTTATAATTAAAGGTATTTGCAATTTTAATCAAAAACACATTTGTATCATGATTTGTTCTGTTTAGTTTAGTTTTTCACAGTTCAGATGGTTTTTATCTTTTAGGTCTCATTCTTCCCTGGTGTTTCCCTCTATGTTCTAGTGTTTCTTAATTTTTCATTCTACAGTGTCTTCAGTGTTTCATGTATTTATTTTGTAGTTGTCCTCAGTGTTTCTTGTCTTGTGTTCATTCCTTCCTCTGTGTGTTTCCCTCCAGTGTGATTGCCCTCATTGTCTTCACCTGTGTCATTAGTCTCACCTGTGTTTGATTACCACTGTGTCTATTTAGTCTCTGTGTTTCTTCCCTTCCATGTCAGTTCATTGATTCATGGTAGTTATCAGTCTACTAGTGTCTCCTTGTAGTTTTGTTTTGGATTTTGCTAGCAAGTTTTTGTTTTCCTTTTTTGATTATTAAATACTTTTAGTTTATTCTGCACTTGGGTCCACCTCTCCTTGTTTTCCAACCATTCATGACAATTTGTATCTTGTTGTCAGAGCATCTAGGAGGGATGTTACAGCAACTACAACAACTACCAATCTAGTTGAAGGCTCTTTCCTCTTGGATGGAGTTTGTTCTTTTTTCACATTCAGTGAGTCCAGTTTGTAAAATTCAGTTGAAACTCAGCGTAGCAACCTGGGCGAGAACAATGCTAACCTTTCTAGAGAACAAAAAAACCTGTAAAACTGGTTTGATTCAGGATACCGCCTGCAGGGTTTGAGAATATATAAAGCTTATGTTCCTATCAGTAACTGTATCTTCCTGTTCCTGTATCTTCGGCAACATTCATGGCAGTGAAACCCTCCCTCTGAAAACCCAATGACTTTTTGTGTCGTCTTGATGCTTCTTGTTAGGACAGGTTGTCTGTATGTTAGTGAAGGATTCTATCATTGTACTAAAACTCACAGAGATGAACTTCTTTTTATCATTTGATCACCATCACATTAAGATTTCACCACTGTGTTCTCTCCATATTGATCTCTACTGAGGTAAGACATGATGTTCTTTATTCAGTAACATTGAAGTTATCCTGTGTGTTTCAACGATACAACTTCCCCTATCTAAAGATAACTTTCTTTATCCTAGCTGTCTCTCTTACTCTCTCCTGTAAATAAACAGTTCCACAGCGCCCCTACAGGCCTGGAGCACTTCCGTTTAAGGCTGAACTTAGAGCGTTTCTGTGTTTGCAGCATGTTTGATGATTATGCAGTTGTTTTGCCTATTTGCAGCGCATTTGTGTCTTTGCAGCGCGTTTCAGCCTTTGCATTTGTTGTGGTAGTTTGCATTTGCTTTTGAATGTGCAGCGTTTCTGTAGACGCTGCACGTTTTTATAAATGTATGTCGTTTCATCAGTTGCTGATTGTTTGACCCCTACCGGCCACCGTACACATGTGAGTCACAGAGTTGATCAGGTTAATTAAATATATAATATCTAAAATTACACATCATGATTTTTAGAATAATTGATTTTTTTTAATCAACAAAGTAACAAGTGAAACTGAAGAAAAAACATTGAGGAATAAATGGAACAGAATTAGAATCTGAAATGTAATTGTGTTAAAGTATAAAGTAACAAAATAGTACCAATTAAAAAGTTAATTTAAAAATAATCTTTAGTTAGGCTAAATGTATGTTTCCTTCATGCAAGCATTACTGTGTGCCTGAAGGGAAACTAACCCTACCTTACATGCAACCTATTTTCCACAAATTACTTCACTACTTCATGAGCTCAGATTTCCTGATCATGTAACATTAGCACACCTGACTGTGACAATTTGACGCTTGGTGTGAACTAGGGCTGTCAGCAGAAGTGAATTGTTTTAGATTAATTGAGGTCCCAAATTAATGCAATCTTGTCATTTGAATCGCCATTAATCTCATGATATTTTGTCCCTTTGGTCACACTGTGGATAAGCCTCCGTCGCGTCTCTCTGTAGGCACAGTGATGGAAAGAACAACACAGCTGCGTCTTTGAATGTGTCATTTCAATTGTAGACAGCTCAGTTTAAAAGTCAAATGTAATATCCACCGTTTGACATCAACATTTCACTATTCTTGCTGTTCATTTTAGCTGTTATATTTGGTTTTTGACCTGTAACGAGTTGGCTTTTTCTGATCCACAAGGTGATCCTTACTTTATACCAAAATAAAAGCAGGGTCGAATTCAAACAGCAAGTACTCTCAACTTAAGACAGTACAAACATTTAAAATAAATAAAACTTCTGTTAATAATCTGTGACTAACTTCAGTGTCTTCAAGAAGGATTCATGATAAACTTAACAGAGTCTGTTTCCCCTTTTTGTTGTTTTCATCCAGTACCAGAGGAGGACTCACCATGTGCCTAAAAGGATTTGAGTAACCATGTCAACATGACACTTCTGAAGACCTGTGTCATCCTTCTCCTTCTGACTGTGTTGTTCTTTGTACTAAGAAACATGGACCTGCTGCAGGTGAGAACTGGGATTAGTGGCAACACTTTGAAGATGGGACTGATGATTACAGGGGATTATTTTCAACAGTGTCTTTCAATGTACTCTTCACAACATTCATGGTTTTTATTTGCAAATAAACACAATTTCAAGGTTATGTTGCTTAAAACATTTTGCTCAGTGATTCTCTGAATCACTGGAGGGTGGGGTAATGGGGTGAAAAGCTGTGAATGCATTAATGACATACACACATACTTGATGCCATCCCTGCATAATTTGCACCTTGGGCCACCTGTCACAAAAAGTCTGAACACGACCTTGCTTACAAAAGACATCAACTTCAAGAAACGGAAAAAGAATCACAGATTTTTACTTTATTGAGCAGTTAAAAGGTCAAAAGTAAGGTCAGTTATAAAAGGTCTATAATGCTCTGTAGAACAAAAAAGCAAACATTAGTCACCCCTGTCCACTTTTTGGACCCATTTAAACCCACTATAATAATTATTTTTGAACTTATGGCCATAGTAGCATAGAAACGTAAGTTTTGTTGTTATAGGCAATCAATCTGTAGACCATACTTCAAATTTGTAGATTTTACAATTTTTTTTTTATCACATTTTTCAATTTTAGCCCAACAGCACAAATACATGCATTTTTTCTAGTAACCACAAGGAACAGTGTTGAAGCTCATACGGCCCATTATTTCTTGTTCAAAGTTATCCTATATTATTTGTTTGGGAATTAGATGGGGGGGAAAGACTTTATAGGATCATAATAATGACTAACATATTGGTGATCATATCGAAACAACAATGGTCTTTTTACATACCTTGAAGTCACTTTGATTAGAAATTGATAAAAAGCATGTAATCATTTTTAGCTGTTTAATTTCTGTGTCCAATTTTTGGACATTGGGTGCTATGTGTAACATTTATTTTAGGGGCGCCTGAGTTAAAGAATTATCTGAGCACAGTTCTTGTTGTTGTTTTTTTAAACAACAACAAAATATGATCATATCAATAGCTTTAATCCTGTTGGATTACTTTACTACCGGGACCTGATGATATCAGGGAGGTATCATGACTTTTTTAATGTTCAACTGATCTTCAGAAAAGATTTAGGCCCGGTCTTTCTTTCGGGGTGCATAGTCCCGCATAACGAATCATGCAAATAACTTTCAAGTCGAGTTTTCATATTGTTAATTATTACAACCCTGATTCCTAAAAGTTGGGACCCTGTGTAAAATGGAAATAAAAATAG